CATTTCCCTTTTTAAGTTGCCATCATTCTCGCACTAGTTACGTCGTAACTTAGACGTATTGATTGAAAGAATAAAAATATATGTCTCTTAAATTACTTTGAAAATAATTTTCTACAGAATTTATAAAAGAATTAATCAATATATTACAAGGTAATAATGAAGGTAGGAATATTTATATGGAGAATTTAGGTAACTGTAATTCACAGTTCGAGGGACAAATCTTAAATTCTGTTAAAAATAATTATAATTTTTTTTTTTATTTTACAGAAGACGAAGATGATAAGGACGACGCAATTTCTAAATATGACCTAGGAGTCAATTATTTAATTAAGGATTTATTTTTTAGATTAAACTAATATCGTAGATAGTGCATTGATTTCTCTACATACAAACCATTGAAATATTTTGTACTTGTCTTCCATGTAAAGCTCCTTTTTTATTGCTTCAATACTTCAATTATATGTAAGCTATCATTTTGCTATAGTCTGCTTCTTAAGATTGTTTCTTTTCTTAAAACACTGGAAATTATAATTCTCTAATAATAATCATTTTCACCATAAATATTTTATTACTTGAATCCCCGCCTCCCAAAAGTAAATGTACTTGAGTTGTTCTTACATTGGAATCAACATTCATTGTATGTGAAAATTCTGATGATTTTGATGGCAATGTATAATTGTCCGTAAGAACCTGTTTATTGTCCTTCTTGGACTATGTTCGTCTTTACCGTTTAATGGAAACTTTTGGTGTTGGAAATGTAGGGCCATCAGTAGAGTATACCTATTACAGTGCAACCCGGATATAAGAGACCCGGATATAAGAGAAACCCGGATATAAGAGAAATCCGGATATAAGAGAGATTTTCTCTGGTCCCAAAGTGTTCCCATACTTACCTAAACAAAATAGACCAAACCCGGATATAAGAGAAACCCGGATATAAGAGACTTCTTCTCCGGCCCCGACCACTCTCTTATATCCGGGTGACACTGTATTATGATGATTTCCTTTGATTTCTGTTGTCTACTAGGCCCCAATCAGAGACTTAAGGTCAGGAATAGCTTCATGGCATTCCACTGATCATTTAAATAAAAAGCTAAACTCACACACATTTTAGATAGATAAAGTTCTTCGTAATGTATGAACTATACTTGTGACTACAATGTTTTTGCATTTATTTAAGGTATTGGTTACCAGGAATCCCTTCAATGAGTCTGTCGGAACTTTTTCCAATCAATCTGAGGACTCCAGCAACAACTGGAATTATTGATGTCTTCATGTGTCACATTTTTGAGATTTCCATTTCAAGATCCTTGTATTTTTTTATAGTTTTTTGAAGATCTTCAAAGATAGATTACAATCTGCAGAAACTGCCATGTCAATAAGAAAACACATTCAATTTTTGTGGTTTTTAATCATCATGTCTGGGCGATCAACTTTGATTATTCTTGTCTGTGTGTATTGTAAAGTCTCATAAAATTGTTACAGGTCTTATCTCTGTAACCTACTCTAGGTGATGTTCATGCCAGTTTCTTGCTATTTCCTTCTTTTAAAAGTTGCATATTTTTCAGTACTTATATTGGCCCACTTTATCATGTCGTATTTTATATTTAGCTGTTCCTAACTCTGTGCAACCGAATACAAGATGGTCATTATTATTATTATTATTATTATTATTATTATTATTATTATTATTATCATTATTATTATTATTTCTGCTATGGACACACTACCTACCAAGTCTGCGGAAAGACCTAAGGCAGGTCGTGGTGTGTTGTTATGGCCACATTTCATGTTAATTTTTTTTTTTTTTTATCTCCGATGAAGTTGCTATTACATAGACAAAGTTCTCCTTAGTGTGTGTGCTGTACTTAATAAGACAATTTTCTGTATGTCTCTTAAGCTGGGGTTTCAGGATTCTTTCAATGTGTTGTTTTGTTCCATTTTTATAATTCCAAGTGCACCTATTACCACTGGTATTATTCTTGTTTTCAATTTCCACATTTTTTCTATTTCAATTTCCAGGTCTTTGTATTTTGATAGTTTTTCAAATTCCTTGGTTGCTTCAAATCCGCTGGACAAGCCATATCAATTAGTAGGCAAGTTTTTTCTTTCTGGTTTTTGACAATGATGTCCGGCCTATTTGAAGAATTTTTCTGTCTGTGTGGATGGTATAATCCCATAGAATGGTGACATCTTCTATTTCTGTAACCGGCACTTTATTATTATTATTATTATTATTATTATCATTATTATTATTATTATTATTATTATCATTATTATTATTATTATTATTATTATTATTTATCATCATCATCATTCGATTTCTGCTTGGACACACTACCTACCAAGTCTGCGGAAAGACCTAAGGCAGGTCGTGGTGTGTTTGTTATAGCCATTTCGGTGAAGTTGCTAGCGTTACATAGACAAAGTTCTCCTTAGTGTGTGTGCTGTTTTTCTGTATGTCTCTTAAGCTGGGGTTTCCAGGGATTCTTTCAATGTGTTGTTTTGTTCCATTTTTATAATTCCAAGTGCACCTATTACCACTGGTATTATTCTTGTTTTCAATTTCCACATTTTTTCTATTTCAATTTCCAGGTCTTTGTATTTTGATAGTTTTTCAAATTCCTTGGTTGCTATGTTACAATCCGCTGGACAAGCCATATCAATTAGTAGGCAAGTTTTTCTTTTTCTGGTTTTTGACAATAATGTCCGGCCTATTTGCTTCAATTTTTCTGTCTGTGTGGATGGTATAATCCCATAGAATGGTGACATCTTCTATTTCTGTAACCGGCGCTGGCCGATGTTCATACCAGTGTTTGCTTACACATTTTCCAAAGTGTTTGCACATTGTCCAGTGTAAGTATTGCCTTCTATCGTGACGAATATTCATTTGGGGCAAGTATAGAACATCCTTTAGATGGTCTATTGTTTCTTGGTATTTGTCACAGAACCTGCATTTTGATCCACATTATTATGTATGATATTTGCCTGAAAATTCCTGAAAAGACTCTGGTCTTGCCAAGAATAAAGCCTTCAGTTTCAGACTTTATTATCATTATTATTATCATTATTATTATTATCATTATTAATTATTATTATTATTATTATTATCATTATTATCATTATTATTTATTATTATTAATTATTATATTTCAATTTCTTTATATTTCCAAAGATCATTGCGTTTTGATAGTTTTTGAAGATCTTCAATTAAAAAACACATTCTGTTTTTATGGTCTTTAATCACGATGTCTGTGTGATCAATTGTTGTTGTGTCTGTGTGTATTGTAAGTCTCATAAAATTGTTACAGGTCTTATCTCTCCTACTCTAGGTGATTTCATAGTTTTTGCTATTTCCTTCTCGTAAAAGTTTTGTTTTTCAATATTGGCCCTCTCTATTATTATTATTATTATTCCTTCGGTGCCAGTCATTTCGCTGACGGCAAGATGATAAAATACTATATTTATTAGAAAATATATTCAGTTTAAATAAAGAAGGTGTCATAAAAATTACTTCAAATGACCACACATTTCGTTTTATAGTTTTTTCACAAGAGTTTTTGTCAAAGAGAAAAAGAAATTAACCTTCGCGACACAGATCTCCATTTAAATTTCAAATTTGTAGGTGTATGTACATTTGGATGTATATTTTAATTCAGTATTATATATATATATATATATATATATATATATATATATATCAAAGAATTATTTTTTATAATTAAATAATTTCCGAAAAGTTCAATAGAATCTTATAATTATTTGATTTTTTTATTTAAAAAATTGATGGCTCTATTTCTTCTCTCCAACTTAATAATTGTATTGCTCCATTCCAGAGTAGATGTTGTCCAGACTTGAGTGGTATTATACCAATGTTTCATTTCAAACTTAATCAAATTGTGTATGCTTGTGTGTCTATTAAATGGTGTAAGCACACGTACGTTACTCACCTAGAACAGAAATATACGCATATACATTACATACACGCACACAGACAGTGTGTCGCAGACAGAATATCTTCTCCTTTATGAGCCGAGTCCATTCATGACGTAGGTGATCATGGCTCTCCACAATTTGATGTCCTTCGTAACTCTTAATAAATTTTCTGTTTTTGTTATTTCTTCTAAACCTTGTTCCGCCATCCATGTACACAAGTATGTTATGCGTTGTTTACCTCAGTCCCTCTTGCCTTCGTTCTACCCTGAGTGTATCAGATTTTCCAAGTCTTCTTTCTTCATTATGTGCACTAGAAATTTCAATTGTCTCATCTTGGTGTTAAATATAAGTTTACTTTTTCCCATTTTTTCTAATACTTCGTCGTTGCTCATATATTCGGCCCATAGTAGAACCACATTTCTAATGCTTCAAGTCTATTGTTCATCTTTCAGGAGATTGTCATCATTCACTGCCAGATATTACGTAAGTGTTCAATACTTTTTTCTTTGTTTCTAAGTGTTTTTGTTTCTTAATAATCTGCTAAGCTTTTGGAATGCATCATGGCTAAAATACTTCCCAGATATTTAAATGTTTCTGCCTGTTTAATGTTTATATCTCCAATTTGTAATTTGCATTTTGGGCTCTTCTTGCAGTTGATATTTAATCCTTTCTTCTCGCTTTCCTTCACTATGTTCTGTAGGAGTTTTTGTAGTTTTCTTTCTATTTTTGCTATCAACAGCGTGTCAGCCTTTCTTTTAACAAGTGAGAGAACAAAAGTGATCCTGAGCTACAACGATACGAAACCCAATATACCCATCACGGCACCCAGAATGATAAGGGTAGACCAGGCACGTGCATCACACCCAAAGGTACGATAAAACAGCACATAACTTTGCAGGTGAGGCCCAGTTAGAAATACTTGAACATCGGAGAACCCAGTCCAGTCCACAAGTATCTAGATGTGAATTCCAAGTTGCCTTAGCTACTTCAGGTTTCAAACTTAATAAAACAATTTTCTGAATTATTATTATTATTATTATTATTATTATTATTATTATTATTGCTTACGACCATATCACGTTAAAACACCGGTTCTCGTACGATTACCAAAGTTAAGCAACATCGAGCTTGGTCAGTATCTTGATGTGTGACCGCTGGACGCTCGGGCATGCAGGTGGTGCAATGGATAACGGCTCGGAATTGGAAATCGGTGAGCCGAGTTCTAAATCCAGTCGGGTTCGTTTCCCCCCTCCAGTTATGGGTTAATTAGTAGGACTTGTATCAGTAAATCGCTATTATCGCAAAAAATTCTTACAATTTAAAATATTTTCTGGTTTTAAATAACCTGCAAAAGGTTGCTAATCCATAAAAAACAAATCATTCAATTATTATTATTATTATTAAAGATGGTGTACACAACACCAAGGTTAGACTGGAGTTCTTACTACTGATGGTAATTGTCAGAACAGATGACACCTGCTATACAATATTATCTCTCTCTCTCTTTATATATATATATATATATATATATATATATATATATATATATATATATATATATGTATGCATATATCCTCTCTAACTTTTTCTCCACTTCTTCCGTCAATCAATCAATCGATCGCTTTATACTCGCGTGTATGTATGTAATCTGTACAAGGATAGATTAATGTCTATAGTTTTATTAGTTATATGCTGATCTTAAATATTAATTGTATAATTTCGACCTATGTCACTAATACAAAATTGTTGGATTAAGTGCGTCGACAAGAAAGGAGATCATGTTTAAAAATAAATATGTTGTACAAAATTGAATGACATATAATGAAATGAGCATTGCAAGAATTATTTACTTTTTATAGCCATTAGAACATATATATATTTTTAAACAAAGAGCAAGGAGAGAAAAAGAAAAAACAAACAAAAAAACGCACTACAAACAAACACATGATGACGTGACATTTGAAACTAGCGCGTACCACAGTACGTAAATAAATTTAAGACTTTGACCGTATTTTTAGCAAAACAAATATAATCTTTCTTTGAAAATGGCTTAAGTCGAAAGAGCTTAGAATTTGGACAAGTGCAATCATGATATTAAACAACTCGACAGAAAAGAAGAAAAAGTACTTCCATTGATCTTTAACAAAATTGTAATATAATAATATCTTTAATAAAATTGTATTAATGAAAAAGCGTTCAATACAATTTTTTAAAAACGAAAATGTAGACCAAATTAAGACATAAAATATTTGGAACACCAACCTTCCTGTTACCGTAAAAGCAAGGTTGGTTTTCAAAATACTATATATATATATATATATGTGTGTGTGTGTGTGTGTGTGTGTGTGTGTGTGTGTGTGTGAGAGAGAGAGAGAAAGAGAGTATTTATCAAAAGTAATAATTGTTATACCCTCCCCCACTTTTTAGTACTAGTTGAAGTGGGACTAACATTCATTTATTCCTCATAAATTCTTAGAAAACCCGTCTTAAAAACCAGTCAATTCGTAGTGAATTTATCTCTCAATGTGTTACACACTATTGTAGCTGGCCTTATGCCAGGCTAAGATAAGATTATTAAATCACCACATTTAATTAGAAAATGGCAATTACAAAACTACTGTTGGTGGCGGCCTTGAATTTTTTAAATTCTTTAAATTTTGCTATTTTCTTGAGTCCTCTTGTGTGTATATGTGTATGTATGTATGTGTGTGTGTATGTGTTTCTGTATTTGAGTGTGGAAGACTTTTTTTCAATTTTTGGTGTGTCGTGTTGTTATTATATATATTTAATTTTTTTTTCCTAAACTGAATATTTTATCTATGCTATGTTGTTTAATGCTTCTAATATCTGTAGTCATTAATTACAATTAATATAATAATTTTATTACCTAAGTCTTTGTCATATTTCTTGTGTTTTTGTGTTGGCTGTTGACGTGAGATTTGATATAATTATTATCGGATAAATTCTATGTATGGAGACATGCAGGCGCACGTATGTACATATTATGCCTCATTTGCCGAATGTTAAAAATGTATAACGAAGGCGGATTAATTTCAAAGATATTCATTCCACATGTCAATGAGAATTATCTCCCTTTGTATAAAATCTCACTTGTTTTCAAGTATTTCTGTTAAATCGCTGATATCCTACTTATTGGGTGACGTGAGTTCAGAGCCAGCCAAGCTTAACTTTCCGTTGGAAGTGTCGACTCAGTGTACAAATTCAGTTTTTTTAAGAACCTGCGTAAGTAATTTTGTTTAATACGCATATAGAATGTATACATGTAGAAGTTGTGCTAAATCAAAATATAGAATAGCAAAAAACGAAAAAAAAAAAAGCAAAAACGAAATGGACTTTTGTTTTCTCATGTAAATTATTATTGACTACTATTCAGATTCAGCTGATCATTTAAGAATCTTTATTTTACATCGTGTTGGAGAGGGAATTAAATAAGTTACAAATTTCTTTTTGAGACTTTAAAAAGGTAAAAATTTATTAACTTTAAAAAAAGTTATTATTTCATTAGCTCGTTCTTTCTCTCTCTCTCTCTCTCTCTCTCTCTCTCTCTCTCTCTCAAACATACACATACACGTGTGTGTGTGTGTGTGTGTTTGTGTGTGTGTGTGTGTGTGTGTGTGTGTGTAAATAGTATGTGTGTATGCAAAGGCTTCTATCGATTTTTATTTAAAAATAAATAAAACACTATTTTTTGTAGTCTCTATTATCCCAAAATAGGATACTTGTAATTTTACACAAACCTAATTATATATATATATATGTGTGTGTTTGTGTGTGTGTGTGTGTGTGTGTGTGTGTGTGTGTGTGTGTGTGTGTGTGTGTGTGTGTGTGTGTGTGTGTGTGTGTGTGAGTAAAAGACAAGAGGAAAAATTATTCTTAGCTGACGCGTTTCGTCCTCTGAAGGACCTTAACAAGGCAAATCACTTCATCAAAGGAAATCACATTTTCCTTGATAAAGTCCCTCAAACGCATCGGCTAAGATTAGTTTTTCTTCTTGTTTTTTTTATTCATTTTGTCCTTTTACTGATACAGGGTGCGACGGATAAATTGTCGCTATTTTATGTTTTTAATTTGGCGCATGCGCGTTGTTTGTTTTTGATTTTATCGACTGCACAAGTATAGTAGGGTCAGTTGGGCAACGTCTGTGAGTAAAAGGGCACCATGACGCAATTCACTCAGCCAGAAATTTGGAAACGGCATGGTTTACTGCTTGGCATTCGAACCAGAAGCTCCAATACGAACATTTCAGAAAATTTGGGTGTCAAGCTGAAGACAGTGCAGAGGATTCGAAAAAAGTTGGTTCAGTCTAATTACGAATGTATGACGGCTCGGAAAACTCACTCTTATCGCTCTGACTAGAAAAGAACTCCTGAATTTGTTTTTGAGGGCTTCAGACTCAACACAGGGGCTTATATCAAGTGCCTTGAGGAGTTAGTGTTGCCCTGGGTCAAGAGAGTGGTTTTTGGGAGATCCTATGTCTGGCAACATGACTCTGCACTTAGCCACACAAGCAGGAAAACCCAGTCAGACAATTTCTGCGACCACATCACCCCTTATATCTGGCCACCTAAGTCCCCAGACTGCAACCAGTTAATTATGTGTGGAGCGCATTTGAGAGAGAGAGAGAGTCCAACAAAACTCCTTGTAGCACCAAAGATGAACCGAAGTCAAGGATTATGGCAGCATAATACTTAACACGAAATCCATACATATTGGTATTAATATGTATGTTATACCTACAAGTATTTTTACATTCATTTACCTGCGTAAAATAAGTCCATTAATAATTTGATCTTTAAATTTTCGGGAATGTACGAGAATAAGCGCAAGAGTAAATGCAACTAATTTAATGGACTGAAAGAGTTGTCTAATCTTTAAAAATGGGTTCAAAGCCCATTAAATCCGACGACAAACTCGAATTAAAAATTTATCTTCCTTTTTACAATATTTAAACTATGAAGTTATGCAGTAAAACTCCCCTATAACTGCTAAAATCAGGGCACCTCGGGGTGTAATGGTTAGAAAGCTTGTCTTGCTAGATCAATTACAACTGAGTAGTGAGTTCGATCCTCACTGGGTGCCCCATACTTTCGGCCTTGTGCCACATCTAAGTCGGGCTTAGAAAATCACTATAACTGCTAAAATCATGTACACAATCTTAAATTAGGCACTAAGAAGTCTTATAACTAAATGCTATTAAGTTTAGAAAATATGACGGTGAACTCTGTTAAAATGTATGCTTCACTGTTGACCAGTTTATTATCTTTAAGCTACGGCCCACTCGCTACAACCGACCCACGACAAGATTGTGTTTCTTTGTTATATTTATCCTTTGTTCTGAATCATATCCTGTTATTTACAAAATGCCAAATAAAACTTATTCATTCGTTTATATTCCTTATTCATTCATTACTAATATTCGTTTAAATGTGTAAAATATATGATCTGGTCCACGTACAGAAATGTTTGGTGACCACTACATTAATCTTTCAATAGTCTTAAAAACAAAACATTTCTTCCTATTAGTTTTCCAGCAATATTGCCTCAGATGTGATAAAACAATAAAAGTAAATCGTTTGTATAACTAATATGGTCGACTTTTGTCAGATATTTTCACATAAATTGCTTTTTTATCATCACTGATGCGTTATTTTCAATTCAGATCCTTTCCATCTTTGTTTTGTTATTTCATATAGTGTTTTACCCATTCTTTGTCGTAATTTCATGAAGCAAATTTCAACTTAAGACAGAATAAAAAATGAATTGCCCAAATAATAGTTGTGTGTATAAAAAATCAGAATGTTTTAGCCAAAACAAAACAATAGAAATGGTTTTACCTGGGGAAAATTTGTTTTAACGTCTTATTTGATCAAAATAGCCAGGTAGATTAAGTTCATTTTTGTTCTAAGTAATTAAAATTTCAAAGGCTTCACTTCTAAGTTGGTCCTTTATAAATTAGCATTGGTCCCCGAACAGCAGTTGTATAGTGTCATTGGTTTAACTAGTTATATTACGCGCCTGTATATTTTTGTGCCTCTCCTTTGCAAATCTGATACACAATTCCCTGCAATAGTTGTTTTTTATTTAAATTTTACAGATATTCTTTATGGGCTTTAAGCGAGTTGACTGAGGTTATTACATGAAGTTATTTTATTTTATTTTTT